TGAATGACCCTCTTAACTTCCCTTTATTGGTCAAATTTTCTATGTACGTCAGCAGGAAGTGTTCTTTAGGTCTTCCACATTGGTATATTGAACTTTGCCTGCGATTTACGGTGGCGCGTGATTTTGTGAATTGATAGTTTCAGAAAGACAAAATAACTAAATCGGCTCTCCCTTGTTATGATGCCATTTTTTCATGCCCTCTGGTTCAGACTACTATAAGTTCGCCAACGAACTTTTTGAAATTCTCCGTCTTTGCAGCCGTTCGCCCCTTCATAACTCCCCAAGGGGTCAAATGTGGTTTCAGCTTCTCTCTGTGGTCTAACCATGGGAAAATCTACGTCGCCGCAAATTTGAAAAAAAACACGACCGAAACGCCGATTCGCGTTTTTTCCGTTCGTTTCGTTATAACTCGCTTCAGTTTCGAAATTCTGAAACAACATTGATTTTTGGAATGCCTCACTTCAGATTGCGCCATGCACTCGAGCTTTGGCTCGAGAAAAAACTGTTTGAATGCGGTGCGCATGTAATCCCGCTTATGCATCATGATCGTTCTTCAGAGAGATGGGTCTCAGCAGTTGCCCAGAACGTTTTTTTTTTTCAACTTCGTCCAATTATGCATCGTATTGCTTTCTTTTCCAGATTCATGGTCTTTTCATGGTGGCCTTGTTATGTTAAACGTAGTCCTGCGCCTCAACTCTCCTCCTCTCCGTGTTCAAATGGAAATCATAAACAAGTCTTTAGCCTATGCTCAATCTTGTGGTTTCTTTTTTTTTGAAATCCAATGTTCGAGCGGCGTCTCTACTATCTTCAGGAGGGTTAGCGTTGTTCTTGTTGTAGGTCTTACTTTGTGTGAGGATAAGTCACACACTTGTAGATGACCTTTTCTTGCTTTGCTTCGTCATGCCCTAGCTTAGTTTGGCGATTTTTCAATGTGTTGAGCGAAGGTGTTTTTCCGATGCAGAAGGGTAGCGGGGAATTTTCTTGGTAGGGTAAGCTTACTTGTGTGTTTTTTCAATGCTTGCAGTTTGACCGCTCTTGCGTGCTGTGGCCATGACATGCCTCCTTTTGCCCTAGCCTATTTGGTGAAATTTTTACAATGTTTGTTTTTTGCGAGTAGAGGGTATCTCTTTCTGTTGTAGAGTCGCTTTTGAGTGTATGAAATAGCATGCATTACTTTTGTTTCGCTTTCTTGGCTGTGAATGCCTTCCTTGTCTTATTGAGATCAGATTTTTTTTCCAGGTTTTTTCCCCATTGAATTCCCGTGAAACATGCTATCGATTTTCCTCCATGTTTTGAAACTTTGTCTTATTCACCCTTATGCCGATTTTTTGGGCATCATTATTCCAGTTACTGCCCAAAATCTCAAAGTTTCATTTTTCGTCGAAACTTTGCCTACTGGGGTAATTCGATGCCCTGATTACGAATATGACATTCATTCTCGTAGTGTGGCCCCAAACATCACACCTCGCCCCATTTTTTGCGACATGTTCCATGTTTAGAGCAGATGTTATGTAGAAAGCTGTGAAGGCAGCGACGAATTTCCTCTACTGTCGTAGACTACGGTCACTTGTCTGTAGGAATTACATAGAAACCTTGGTGGCAGGTGAGTCTTCCTTCCGTAGTGTGACCCCAAACATCACACCTCGTCATGCCCTTGCGATATGATCAGATTTTTTTGGTTTCTCCAGATGAACATAGAAGACTGAGATGTGCACCATTCAATTCCCCATAAAAAATACTGTCGAACGGTATACAACTCACTTTCTGGAGAACATCTAGTTTACCTGCCACTAGATCCATTTTGTGACATTTCCCAATTTTCGAAGGGATGTTTTGAGGAAATTCGAGAAGGGAGGGACGAACTCTCTTCCCTATCGTAGAGTAAGTTTACTTGTATGTTGGAAAAAGATGATATACTCGGGCTTGAGCGAGTGTTTCCTTCCCTGGTGTGGCCTCAAACATCGCTCTCCGTCATGCCCTGAAATAAAAACCAGATTTTTTGGTCTTCCAGGTGGCTCTACGGAGCTGTGGTGTACACCATTCGATTCTCCATGCAAAATGCTATCGAACGATATACATCTCAGTTCCCACTTGAAACTTTCGTTTTTCACCGTTTTCGGCCTTTTCCTTATCGCCGATCGCCTTCCTCAGCCCTGGCCACCCACGTGCTATTCACGTGCGCGGTGCGTGGTGACTTTCCCACGCACTTTCGACACGCATAGCGGTGTATCGATCGGGCTGCCCGCCAGCTACCGAGAAAGGCCATCGGCTGTCACGTGAGCTCTCACGCACCGCGCACGTGAATAGCACGTGGGTGGCCAGGGCTGAGGAAGGCGATCGGCGATAAGGAAAAGGCCGAAAACGGTGAAAAACGAAAGTTTCAAGTGGGAACTGAGATGTATATCGTTCGATAGCATTTTGCATGGAGAATCGAATGGTGTACACCACAGCTCCGTAGAGCCACCTGGAAGACCAAAAAATCTGGTTTTTATTTCAGGGCATGACGGAGAGCGATGTTTGAGGCCACACCAGGGAAGAAACACTCGCTCAAGCCCGAGTATCATCTTTTTCCAACATACAAGTAAACTTACTCTACGATAGGGAAGAGAGTTCGTCCCTCCCTTCTCGAATTTCCTCAAAACATCCCTTCGAAAATTGGGAAATGTCACAAAATGGATCTAGTGGCAGGTAAACTAGATGTTCTCCAGAAAGTGAGTTGTATACCGTTCGACAGTATTTTTTATGGGGAATTGAATGGTGCACATCTCAGGTCTGCGAGTTCATCTGGAAATGCAAAAAATCTGATCTTTCCACAAGGGCATGACGAGGAGGCATTTTCACAGCCACAGCACGGAGGGAGCGGTCATCTGCAAGCAAGCGTGTGATCTTATTCCTACACCCAAGTAAGCGTACTCTACAAATAGAAGAAATTTCCCCGCTACCTCCTCAGATTTCGGAAAAACCTTCGCTCAAACATTGGAAAATTTCACCAGATAGGCTAACTGTCCAGCCGAGAATTGATCTATGATTTCCATTTGAACACGAGAGGAGGAGATGTTGAGCGCAGGGACTACGTGTTAAGTCATTTAACGCGCCGCTGTGGAATAGGGACCATGAAATCTGGAAAAAAGCAATCGATCCATTCACAATACAATGGACGATGTTGAATACGCGGCGCGTTCTGGGGCAACTGCTGAGACCCATCTCTCTGAAGAACGATCATGATGCATAAGCGGGATTATATGCGCACCACATTCAAACAATTTTTTCTCGAGCCAAAGCTCGAGTGCATGGCGCAATCTGAAGTGGGGCTTTCCAAAAGTTTAAAAACATTCTTATAGAACTCGACGAGCTGAAATCAATGCTTTTTTCAGATTTCGAAAATCTTAATTTCTGGGCGAGTTATGAAGGGGCGACGCTTTGCGACGCTGCAAATCCGTCGCTCAGCGGAGAAATTTCAAAAGTTAGTGGCGGTATTGTATTTGACCGTAGCAGAGAGCCGTGATAGCATTTGAATACGATCCAGCCCATTCAGCGACACAAGCCAGCCGATATCCAGGTGAGTGCCTTGGTCCTCCCACGGAGGAATGGAAAGCTGAGTTGGCCCAATCCACCTGCGACCAGATATGATCCCCGTGATCCTCGCGCACATGGTGTGTAGCGCCACTTGTCGCTACCCCACTTGTGCCCTGTTGTGGCGGATGCTGATAGATTTGATTTTTCTGATGGATTTTCTGATAGATTTAACTATAATTCAATTTCCAAATTGGAGATATCAATATGTCGGAACCCAAAAGCATAAAAAGATTGGCTGACGTGATCGATATTCGAGATTCGATTCCAAGAACCATGCGCTTGGTACAGCGTCGAGCCATAAGTGTTTTATCCCCCCCTTGTCAGTACAAACATTTATCTTTCGGACTGAAAAAATATTAAAATGTTCTCGCCATTTTTCCACCGACCAGCATCAATGCTTAGTGTGTGCTATGTACATCAGATCTCGGGTCTAAACAAATTACAAAGACAGCTTTCAGCACTTAGTGCATGATAATTGCCATTTGCTCTTTATGAGAAAGCATCATCATTACTATGATTTACGAAGAAGGACGACGACAAAAATAGTGCCGGAAAGGTTGATCAAAGCTGAAGGAACGTAAATAACAAACAGTTGTTATAAACAAGTATATATGCCATGTTGTAAGTACCACAGAAAGCCATATAACTAAAATAACAACATGGGGACAAACAATCTTCACTGTGCCTTCCGAAATGGCTCCTTTAGAGTCATAATCTTCAGATTTTCATGACATGTCCAAAAACAAATCACACGCTAACAAAGAGAAAGGAGGAATGGATCAGGAGTGCGCTAATTTTGTTCTGAATTGAGTTGAAGGAATCCTTTCTGAAAAATCGTGATTTTATATCTCACCCATAATTCACTG